AATAAGAGAAGTAAGATCTGATGTTTTATTGCACACTAGGTTGACTATAGAGAATAATATACTATATAGTTTGAAAATTTAGGAAAACTCATTTTGACTATGTTTACCATAAGTAAATGATAAATGTTTGAGGAGTTAGATTTGTTTAACCTGATTTAAACATTATGGAATATATCATATATTGAAACATGCAATTGAAACCACAGCATATATATATTTTTATAAAATTTATTTTAATAGTATTTTTAAAAAGATGGACAAGAAAGAAGAAAAGAAGTTAGTACTCAATAAATATTTTTTGAGTGATAGAGTGGGAGATTCTGTGGGATCAAGGTTTCCAGGAATGTACCTTCTAGAAAAGCAGGCAATTCTGAATATATAGATGCTCTGTGTTTTCAGATGAGGTTAGGAATGCTAAAATGGGGAGTGGATGATAGTGTAAAAATCAAGGAGATAAAAAACTACAGGTCAGGACACTGAAGGAATCACTGGACCAAATACTGCCATTAACCCAGTTGCTGCTTTTCTGCTAGGAAGAAGAAGTTATGTAGAGTCTGGCAGGGTAGGAACTTGCAAGCAGGCTAGTGGCTGGAAGCTAATGTCTTCTGTATTTGTAGATGAACAGAAATCAGAGGGTTTCAGAATGTCCTGGTTACTTTTCTCTTTGCTGAGACAAAATACTCAACACCCAAAGGAGGAAAGGTTTATGTAGCTCGCAGTTTATAGAGGTTTCAGTCTGTAATCTGCTGGCTCCAAAGCAGAGCAGCATGGTAGACAGGCGTTACAGAGGAGAAACAGTTCATGATGGGCAGAAGGTAGCAAAAGGAACAAGGGTTGACCACAGCTCTTATGTCTTATACAGGCTATTTAGGGTAGGTAGCACTCAAATTCTTAATCCTAGTGCCCTTGAGCCTAGTATTGCAGCATGAATCTATCCCAGTAACACACTCTAGATTCAGCCACCTCTGAAAAAGCCCTGGCTATGACTGCATGTAGCTTTTGGAGGACATTTAATACAAGTCATAACACAGAATGAAGCAGATGAAAAGAAAGAATGAAACATATGGTTGTAGACATAACTATATAGATGTAGGGTTTGGTGAGGGAAGAAGAAAAAATGAAGCCCTATTATATTTTGGATATTGTAGAATCAAGCCACCTGATACAGAAAGGGAAAGCTTTGATGTTCTCTCTCCTAGGGCCATTCTTATCACAGTCCCTTTTTCCTATTCCCAGTGCAATGTGGCAGTTACCAGCATCTATACAGAAACTTCTGCATATTGCACTGGATTATTATATGAAGTGAAATGATGAGTGTGTAAATAATTTTAAGTAACTTACTCTGTGCCCACAAGAGGATGCTAATGCTATGAAATTTGTGATGGGAATCAGGGAACATATTCTCCATATGCTTCAGTAAGTCATTTCTATGATTGAATATTTCCCATACTAAGAGCTAAGAATCTTCATTTCCAAAGGACTAAGATATTTGCTGTTCTCTTCAGTCTAATAGTTAGCCTAGTTCCCATTAAAGTATGCTGAACTTGAACCAAAATAAACTGTTGCTCAAAATACCCTATGTTTTCTCATTTTTATGCTTTTACTCAATACCTGTCACTCAGAATCTTTTTCTTCATCTCTGATAAATAATGCCCTGTCAACCAAGATCAAATAGCACCTCTTCCATCAGATTTTCAATCATTTTAGCAGATAAAGGGGATGGCTTTGGGTTTTGAAATCTCATGGTTTATTTTTCATTTTAGATCTAGTGTTTGGGGGCCATATTTCTGAACAAAAGAAAACAGATTTCCCATTACAAGAGAAAGTATAGGGTGATCAGTAGCATTTGTAAATTAGAACCAAGACTCAAGCTCATGGCATTGTCAGGAAGGAAGAAAGAAAAGTATGTTAGTCCATTTGCACTGCTATAACAAAATGCCTTAGAATAGGCAATTTATAAGCAACAAAAATTTATTGCCCACAGTTTAGTAAACTGGTAAGTTTAAGATCAAGATTTTTAGTCTGGTGAAAGCCCATTTCTCATAGATGATGTCTGCTATATGTGCACATGTGGCAAAAGGAGAAAAAGGGAACTCACTAGAAATTGTTTTATAAGGGTGCTGGTCCTATTGATAAGGATGAAGCCCTTATAACTTAATAACTTCTCACACTCTCCATCTCCCAGTTCTATTGCATTGAGAATAGACTCCAATGTATGAATTTTGGAAGATGCCATGTTCAGACTCTACCACAGTGATGGTGAACCTTTTAGACCAAGTGCCCAAACTGCAACCCAAAACTCATGTTTTTAAATTGCAATGTGCAAACAGTTCAATTAAACCTGAATATCTGATGCCAGCTGCTAGGGTGACTTGGATTTGTATGCCAACAGAGAGAGTTCTTGAGTGCCTGCTGTGGCACATGTGCCATAGGTTCACTACCAATGCCTTAGCAGAAAGGACAGAGGAAAAAGAGAAAATGAGAAGGAATAAGGGAAAGAAAGGTCAGGAGTGAACAAAAAGAAAAGAAAGAAGGAGCCAGCACTCATTTGTGGTATTTAATACTTAGCCTTCCTTAAAGCTGATGGTATCACCGGGAAAGGGATTGGAGGGAAATGGAATGTGACTATTAGTCTCTCAATTGGTGTCAGTGCCAACAATGCCAGCAAAAGGCTAAGGGAAAGATTTCACTCCCGGAACAATAATATTACCTTTGCTTCTTCATACCTCCTAGGAAAGCTTACCTTGGAATATTCATCATCAAGATTTCAGATGCATTCTCACCTAGACCCTAATGTATAGATGAGGATACTGAGGCTGGAGATGGTAAAGGACTATCTTTGCCCACTATACAAGTAATACAAGCACCTGGAAAAGAACAGTTTGAAGTAGTCTGAGGAGCTGGGCCACCAATAAAATGGGCACTGAAGTTTATCAGACTTCTGTTTCCCTCATGTAGAAAACAGGGTTGTTTCAGTCTTTCCTCTTTGCTTATTATTGGTACACTCCTATAATATCTTCAAATACAGTCATTTAGGGGGTTGGGCTTTAGCTCAGCGGCATAAGCACCTGCCTTGCAAGCAGGCGGTCGTGAGTTCGATCCCCGGTACCAATAAAAATGAAAAAGACAAAAAAAAAAAAAAAAAAAAAAAACCCAAAACAGTCATTTGAGGAATCCACATACTTTTATGGGTCAGTCGAATAATCTGTGTCCCAAATGCTGCAGGGAGGCCACTCTGCCTTGATCCTGTTTAAGGATATACTTACCAAGAGCTGATAGCAAATGGAGCAATTGATATTGACTCTTTATCCTCAGAGGCCTTCTCCATAGAGACAGTGGGCAAGGTCAGGGCTTTGGTCCTGGACAAATCACCCATCAGGAGCCCAGACTGAAGGAAAGCCAGAAGAGAGCATGGCATACCTAATATGAAGCTTCTGTCTGTTTATAGTTATTCAGCTTTCATAATTGCTGGAGATAAACTGTTTCACTGCTCTCCAAACTGCCTTAAAGAATAAAAATATGGAAGCTGATTCAGCAGGATCATGCCAATATCTAGTGTTTTTTGCCTTCCTTTCTAAAGTATTGTAAGAACTAGTGGGTAGGGAGGGTATGGAGGTGGCAGAGGAGTGAGACAAGTTAGACTCCATGGCTTGCCTCCCTTTTGTCATGTTAAGAAAGCATGATTTAAGGGGCTATCAAGGTAGCATCCAGGAAGAGCTCTAACCATATAAAGTGGTTCCAGGGGACAGATTATATGGCGCTGCCCTCCTCCACCATTTTGTGTCATCTCTCTCTCTCACCACTCATTCATATCCTCACTCATAGATGCACAAAGGAAATACATGAACCTCTTGTGGAAGGGTAAAGCCTTAGTGTTTTGTAAAAGTGCATAGATATGTGTCTGTAGTCTGCCTGTCTCCAATCGTTGCTGTTTTCTATATCATAGGATATCTCACTCTGTAGGCTGCATTCTCTAGTTTCCCTTTTTGAACTACTTTCTGGCTTGAGTCAAGCTATGGAAAGCACTGATGAAAGGGAGGATAAAAGGAGAATCTAAGATCCTTATCCTCTGTCTTCTTTGTCTCAGTTAATGACATTGCTGTATCTCTGCTATGGTTTTTCCTGTCAGCATACTTCCATTATTGCTGTGTGATTCTAGCACATAGCTCAGGTCATACTACTTACTTCCACTGTTCCTCCATTCTTTATCTTCTCCCTGCTTTGCTCTATGTGAAAAGGGGTCTGACCCCTGTAGGCTGTTTTCTAGGCTCTACAATTAGTTGATTTCAAGTTTTCCCACAAAGAGAGACATCACAGGCAGACTAGCAGGCAAAAATAAGGAAAGGAGAAGATATTTCTTCTTTTCCTGTTCTTTGGACAGTATTTTTATGTATAGGTCTAGCTACCATGGATTCCACTTCCCATCAGATGATTCTTGACCCTCAACTCTGGAAACACCTCCCCTCTTCCTCCTGTAGTCTAGGGGTGACATTGGCTTTTTGCTATCATTAATCTCTGGGTTACCTCTTTGTCCTGGCTGGGTTCTCAGTCTATCACCTATATAACCAATTTATTGTTTGCATTAAACTCCCTGTCATAAATATTTTGTTGATTGTTTCCCAAGTTGATCTTGACTGGTATAAATGCAGCCTACAGTTTAATATATCAATGCATGAGAAGCTTCTTGGTCATTTGACTCAAAGTAATAAGAGATAAGAGACAGCACCAGAAATGGTGTCTTGTAGCAGCCAGAAAAATAAAGCTGGGCATTCACTTGAATTCTTCATGATCTTGCTGCCAGGGCAACATGGCTCCAAACACTATAGGAGCCTTGATAGGGAAGATATGGTCAGTGGGTTGATTTTCTTTTGATTTTTCAGTAGCCAAGACTCTTGCACCAGTCACATGCTAGACAGTACCCTCTTTTCATGATTAAGCAGACACATTTCCCCCAATAAATCTCCACCTTCACCCCAGACACAGTAGCCAGCCACCAAGAATTATTTTCGAAGGATTTTATTATGGGAGAGCAGCTCCAGAGTAGGTAGAGCTGTAATGTTCTCCAGCTACTCAGGTCTTCAGTGGTTCTTAAAGGCATCTTCGGGTCCAAGGAATACTACAAGATTATAGTTGATATTTGAGATAGCTAATCAATGTGGAAGGAATATCCAGCTGATCGATGGCTTGTGGTTGGCTGGCCTGGCGCAAGGCTCTGCGGATAACTAAACGGGCCTGGGATAGGAGCGACTGTGGAGTGGCTACAGCAAGGAGAAATAGGTCATGAGGATCATTTCTCAATATAATTATCCAACCAAAGTCTGCATTCCCGCTATCTTGCTACTATAGTTCTAATACCTTTTCCAGCTAATATATGACCTCCACAGCATGCTATCAGTATAGCTGCACTGAGACCTAGTATGGGAATGTGTGAGGCCACAAAAAAAGCCAGTACTAGAAATTGAACAAGTGCTTCTCTCCACCCACCTCACCTGAATGACCCTTTCCCTAACATGGAGATTATAGCATTTTCTACAATGGGGCCCAAAGAGAGAGGGGAAGATAAAGCTTTCTCCAGTTCATCCCATAGAAATGGCTTCAACAGTGATTTGGGATGTGTAGACCTATAAACTGAGGCTCCTAGGGGGTTGGCATGCTTATCACTTACCTCTGGCCTGTAGCAGCAGTGCAACACCCTTATCATCTTTTGAAGTCATGTCCAGAGAGAGAGATGGAAGGTAGATGTTAGCACCAAAATCAATTAACAACTGGATATACTCTGGCTCACAATTATGGTGGAGGCAGATTTCAAGGAGAGTGCGGGGATGGGGAACATGAGCCAGTAGGCCCTTATCAGTACAGTTGTAATCAGGATCTGCCCCATGTAGCAAAAGCAGGCGAAAACAGTCGAGATGCCCATAGACTGCAGCCAAATAGAGGGGACCAGAACATAAAGCTATGTTCGATGCCCACACTGGCAACTTAGCCTTGACATTGGCCTCTGCGCCATGACCTAGGAGCTCCTGTAAGATGGCAACAGAACCGTCACGGGCAGCTGTAAGCACAGGAGAACAGTTGTTGTAGATGCTGCCACCAGGAGAAGCACCAGCTTCCAAAAGCACACGTACACAGTCCAGATGGCCATGGCTGACAGCAGTGAAAAGCGGTGTCTGTGCTTTCACATCCAAGCTATCAACTTCAGCACCATGTGCCAGCAGGACCTGCAAACAGCTCAAATGGCCATAAGAAGCAGCCAAGCGCAAGGGTGTCCCAGGAACTCCCCAACCACTCCTGCTATTAATGAAACGTTTGTAACGCTCCTGGCATAGAAGCTGATCCAAGGTATAGGAGTCATTGTCATATACTGCTTGATTGAGAGCCTGCTTCTCCCCTGTATCAGTGTCCTCCTCTTCAGGCTGCAAGAGGGAGAGGATCTTGGTGATATCCATGAGATTCATCTTGGTTGACTGCAATAGGACTATTTTCATTATGGGGAGGAGCATATGCCAGTTCTGTGGGTAACAAAAGAAAGGAGAGAAACTGAACGTCCTTTTGAAAGGTCGAGAGTGCTATCCCCCCCTGCCTATCACCATCAGGCTACACATTCGTGGGTATCCTACTTCTAACTCTCCTAACTATCCTATTTCAGGTCCCACAAATACTGTCAAAACAGGTGAGGCCATTTCACAGCTTGGTGTTTTTACATATACTGTTTTATCTGCCCCTCAAATTCTTACTTCTAGGATGTCTTTCCTGATTTCATTATGCCTGAGAATTCTAAAAAAAAATCACAACTAAATTTCAACTGTGAGCTTTCACTGCATTTTTACCTGTCTGTTCTCCATTAGAATATAAATTCCAGGATGAGGACTCTATTCATCTTGGATTTCTTTACCTCCAAAAGAGCCTTCATCATGACCAAGGATTTGGTAGATCATTTTACTTAGGTTAGCATATGGGGTTTAATGATGTGGTTTGAATCCAGCAGTTATTATGCCAGTAAAATGGTGGTGTGTAGTGTCAAACTAGTAACACAGAGCATTCCAACATTTCTCTAGTGGGGAAGACCCTCATCTCCATGTCTCTCCCTTTTAGGTGAAGTTTGCATTTTCCACAGCCCCTCAGGTCTGATGAAATCTCCTTCTCCTGAGTTTTCTGTAGCCTTCTCCCAGTCTCAGACCCCATGCTTCAGAAATAGAGGTAATTGTAAAATGAGTGTTGAATGACATTTACTGGCCAAATGAGAAGGTTCATTACAAAATTCATACTTCAAGTAAAATGAAGGCAAGTGAATAACTGGACACAACTGATGTTTCCAAAGCAAGTTGTCCTGTCTGGTGTAACTGGTTTGCTACCCCTCAAAACCACTGAGCCAATAGTGCCCCAGATTGCCAGTATCACCTCATAACCTACTGTCCCTCATTCCTCTGTTTTAGACTTTTTTACAGTCCCTGAAAAATCCATCCTGGGACTTTGACTCTGACTTCAACTCTTTTCTCCTCATAATCCTCAGGCCCCACAAAATTACTCATGACTTAATAACTGACTCCATTTATCCACCGAATTTCCTAATCTTTTTCTTAGGTCTCCCAAGTGAAGTTCACTCACCTCCGTTTTCAGTGTCATCAGGATGAACTGATAGGTTTTTCAGAGCTTGAGTTTCCCTACTCTCCCATGTCCTGCAGCCAAGGTCTCAGTGCCACCTACCTCCTTTTCCTTACTGTGTATCCCCACCCTTCTTTGTTAGCCAGGTACCTCCCATACTCACCTCATAGAAAGAAATTTTTGAGGTGGGTGGGGTCACCCTCAACTTTAGGCCCCTGTCAGATGGCCAGCATGAGCTCCATATATGGTCCTATTATTAATTCATTCTTGGGGTACAGTGGGAGTAAGATTTGTGAAATCAGTGTGACCCAGGTTTGTAGCTCTTTATTCCTCAGTTCCTAATGAATAAACTTAGGTAAATCACTTCCCTTTTTCATGACTCATTTTTCTCATCTGCCAGACAGAAATGATAGTCCATGTTTCATGGAGTTGGTGGGAGAACGAAAACTACCCTTAAATGAACAGTGAGTTGGGATACATGGACCTATAAACTGATAATCCTAGGGGGATTAAAGGTTAGCTTATTTTATGTGTACCTTCGACATCCTCATTCTGGCTTATTCTTAATTATTTTAGAGACCAAAACAAAATTTCTAGAATCATTTGTTTCATTTCTGTTGCTACCTTTCTCTTTGTCTCCCCCCCCCCTTTTTTTTGTAGCACTGGGCAGTGAACCCAGAGCTTTCACAATAAGCTAAATCCTTAACTCCTTTTATATTTTTTATTCTGAAATAAGGTCTCTCTAATTCACAAAATTTCCCATCCTAGGCTCAAACTTGTGATCCTCCTCTTTCAGTGTTCCAGGTGTGCATACCAGGGCATCTTTTCATTCTCTACCAAATGTTTTAAATTATCTGCTATCTATTTTTCCATTTTCCATTTACTTCAGTCTCTGCAATCTGCCTATATCCATCCTCAGTCATACCAAGAAAGCTCTTTTAAAAAAATCATCTAAACCCAGTGAATATTTCTTGATCTGATCTTTCCTTTGCTGACTTTGCTGACTTTTCTGGGACAGCTGTCCCTACTACCACTCCTTCCTACAAACTCTGTCTTCATCTTCCTGCCCAGCACTCTGACCTGATTTTTCTTCCTACCCATATGTTCACCTCGTTCTCATCTCCATCCTCTTTGTTCCAGTCCCACAACTTTAACTCTCACCTTTATTGTGATATTTTGAGCCACCCAGATCTCTTTTCAGCTTCTTCCCGTACTTCAAGGTCAGAAATATCAAACCACTAAGATCCTCAATAGCAGCAAATTTAATTTGTATATAAATTTCTCATCATCTACAAAGGTCAACCAAACTAAAACCCCAAGACCCATCTTAGTCTCTTATCTTACCTCTTGTCTTACTCATTAATTCTTGTGGATTTTACTTTCTGGAAACATCCATCCTCCTAAAGCAGATACATATTGTCAATACTTTATCTAGACTCTATTTTTTTTTTTTGCCTCAACAGTTGTAATAGTTTTCTACATAGTTTCCCTTTTCAATATTGTTTCTGTGTTGTGGTTAAAGTGATACTTTAAAAACACAAATCTGGTCTGCACCATTCTACTGTTTTAAACCCCTTAACAATTCCCTTCTTTTAGGTTACTGCCCAGATGACTTAGCTGCGCTTATAGATCTAGCCAGTCACTGGAATCTCACTTAGTATTAATTTTCTATTTATATTCTTAATTCTAGTGATAAGAAACTGGTGGTTTTCTGTGTAACTTGTGCATCCTTCTGCAAAATATATTTCCTTCTGGTGAGTTAGTTCCTCCAGAGTCTGTGTTCCTACTATCAGAGTACTATAGGAGTCATCATATTATATTGTAACTCCTCTATTGGTCTGTTTTGCTCCCACTGCAGATGAAGGTGCCATATGGCATAGTGTTAAACCACTGCTTGCCTGTTTCAATTGCAGTTGTACCATTTAGTAACTGTGTGACCTAGGGCAGATTACTTAATCTTTCTGTGCCTATTTCTTCATCTTTAAGGAGAGGACAATAGTGTCTGTCTTGGAGTGTTGTTATGACTGCACACATTAATACATAGGAATTGGCTAGACCAGTGCCTGAACATATTTCTCAATAACTGTTTTTAGTATGATGATCAACAATTCAATTTCTGTGAGTATTGCTCCTTACTTAATGGCCTATAATCTCATCTGGACTAGAACTTGTACATAATTTAATGTAATTTCTTCAATTTAGAGATGGGAAAACTAAGGCTCAGAGGGGGTAGCAGCTACTTTGTTAGGTGACATGATTGTAACTGTCATTTGTCTCATTTTCAAGAACCCAGAACACACTTAAAATCTTATGCATTTCAAAGCTGTTTAATTATTTTTTGTGTGGCAGAAACAAAGGCCAGGGAAAATGAGGGATTTTCCAGATGCTATACATCAAGGCAGTACCAGAGCCAGAAACAGAATACAGGTTTTCCTACTCCCTGTCCTGTTCTTTCTGCTGCAACATAAACAAAATAAAACAAAATGAAACAAAATATCCTTCCCCTTGCTTCAAACAGTTACACTGCAGCTCCCAGGATGCTCAGGTTTTGAGTGTCATACTGAATGTTGCAGAATTTGGTAGCAGAAAATTCCTATACAAATCGTTTTCTCTTCCAATCATGAGTTCTTTTCTTCCTTTTTTTTTTTTTTTTTTTTTTTTTTTTTAGTTTTTGAGACAGGGTCTTGCTATGTAGCCCAGGTTGGCCTCTAACTCACAGTGATCCTCCTGCCTCAGCCTCCCAAGTGCTGAGATTACAAGTGTGTGCCATCACATTTGGCTGTCTTCCTATTTTATTTTGGTGCCTCAGATCTAAGTAGATAAAGAAAGCAGGGAGGAGTGAAGGGTAATGCTGAAACTTTCACCTATGTTGTTTGTGAGACCACAACAAAACTCATATAATGAGCCACCAAAGCAGATCAAACCAGGGCTTCTTGGAGCTTTGAAACTTGAGTCAGTGCTGCCTCCATTAGTTGTGGACAAAAAAATCCAGCTAATCTAGTGTCTATCTTCACTTTGCTATAATTTATTATCAGAGACTGATTATGTAACTGCTGTATACCAAAGACCACTTCCTGATTCCTAGAAGTTTAGGAGTTTTTAAACCTGTTTGGTAATTTTGGCTCTAGTGAAGTCTGGATATTTGTCATTACATTTTAGTAGACAGAAAGTACATGGAATGAAAGGAAAACAATTTTGTTCAAAAGCTGCTATCAAAATATTTTAAAACTATACGATACAGTAATAGACATTATTAACTCATTAAATAACAAGATTAAATATTTCTAAGTTGCAAGGAATGTGAATGACATTTCAAGATCTCTGTCACACTGTAATATGAAATATCTTTGATTTCTTCCTGTTACCAAGTTACAGGAACTGGTAATAGTACTGCCATTTGCTACCTTAATCCTTGGAAGAAATAGTAAATTTCAATTACAATCCAGGAGTTAGAAGGGAAAAAAATTGTTTGCTCCTCTGTTTCTGAATGCTTCATATTTTATCTAAGATCTTGGGGTCTGTGAATCTATGTTAAAAACTCCTATAGGAAAGTGGCTGGTTTCCATGAGGCACAGAACACTCCTTCAGGCACCAGTGAACTATTTTTCAGCCTTTTCTCCTACCTCCTGGAGCAGCTCTGAATTTATGATTTTAAGCCTACTCTGCTGCACCCTCCCACCACATACAGACTTTCAACACAATATAAAGACAAAAAGACAAATTTATAACTACTGTGTATTGTATAACGACAGATGCCCAAAAGAAGTGGGACTCTATAGACCCGAGGGCCTAACTAGACATACTTTCTGGGGGTAGGCAAGACAGGGAGCTCATATAGTATCTTTCCATTTAAGTGCTCCCATGTCCCGGACTCAATAGTTACAGCTAGACTCATTTTTCTCTGACATTTTTCTCTGATGTGTCTTATGTCTACATACTTACGGACTTCAGGCTGAAGCTGCTCTGAGCTGGGGTCACTGCCACTGCTCCTCTGTGAAGTATTTAGGGCCTGGTGGCCCTTCTGCAGGTGGCCCCTCTCCAGAGAGCCCCTCCTGCTTCAGTCTAGAGCAGGTGGGGCCCTGCTTTTCCACTGTTAACAACACAGCAGAAAGCCTGGGCCTCAGCTCCCAGGCTGACTTGTTCCAGGGGGCTAATTTTAGTCTACACTCCACCCCTCCTTCTCTCAGCCCATATTATCTTACCACTGTCATTTTGGGTTCTGTCCCAGGGAGAGGAGGGGGCTGCCCCCAGGGAAGTCCTAAAAGGACTGAAAAGTAGACAGGTGCTTAGGTAGTAAGACTAGGGCTATTGATCCCCTTTTGTCCTTGCATGTCCTTTTCTATCACTCAAATGGGCACCAACGTAAGGCCCTTGAACTGAGGCTATTCTAAACTCACCTCTACCACCAATGGGCCCAGGAAGGCTCAGCTTTCTTCTGATCTGGAATCCATTTAATTTGTCCTTAACTTTTTTAGATTTCATTTTTTGGCTTCTTTAGGACCCAGAAGCAGTCTAGCTTCTCCTTGGCCAACTCCTTAGAGTAAGGAGGAAGATGGGAAGAATCCTCTGTCCTGGAATGTGCTTTCAGTTAGCTTTTCTAAAGCTTAAGTAAGTCTTTATCTTTTATAAAGACCTCCCTAGTCAACTCATCCACCAAGCTCAGGCTGAAGAAAATGCTCACAGCCTCCCACTCTTCTTACCCCTGAAGTATCACTGTTAGAGTAATATCAACACTGGAAAGTTTGTCAAAAGCTCAGCTGTTAAGAGTATTATTTTATATCTCTGGTTTCTTTCAAGTGAGGGAAGTGGTAGGAAAATACCTTTAGAAATAGTCATATTATATATTTTAGATGTTACACAAAACGAAACGAGGAACTAGCATCCTGCCTCTCTGTGGGATGAAAAGTCAGCCTTGCCTTAGGTATAGAAACCACAACACAATCTGATGATGTCTGTGAAACTACGAAGCAGCCACTATGTACAAAGTCAAGGTGCAGATAGAACACAAAAAAATGAAGACATAGTGTCCTTTAAAAAGCGCATTTTAAAATCAAACTCGTGTAAATACCATATTGTCTCCCTAGTGTAAGAAATGCTAAGAGTACATAAGATACAAAATCCTCAATACATACAGTGAAAGGATAAAAATCTGCTCAAAGAGGGAAAATGACATCTCATGGAACAGGATGGGGAAAAAAGAAGGGAAAAGAAAAAATATCTAAATTTGTATAAACACATTTAAAATAGCTAAGATGATTATGCTACAAATTCTATAAGTTCTTGGAAAAAAATAGTTAACATTCATAGGATTGGAACAATTTTGCATGTTTGTGTCTGGTGATCTGAGGAACACTTGAAGATCACTATGTAAAATAACAACCTTAGTTACATTCCTATCACCTTGAAGGCCTATGTTGTCATTGTTTTGGGCTCCTTGCTATTGTTATCTATTTGTCTTTTTTGTTTCTTATTTTTCCAGTAATTTGTTTTGTTTTGTTTTTCCCTCTCATGCAGAAAGGATAGGTGTACATGCAGAGACTTATACATGCCTAGAACTTCTCCTAAAAAATTTGCTGATTGAATTATTGTGATGATATGAACAGCTACTTAGAAGAAAAAGAGACGTTATGATATCCATTGCTGATTTCCTATCATCATGCTGTGGAATCTAGTAATAATTTTATTCTTCATTTACAGTGGTTTCAGTCTGTTTTGTATTATTTAATTTCAAAATACATGAAGATATTGACAAGTATTTTGAAGAGAACAAGAGACATTACAGTAGCCATTGATTTCACTATTGTTGGGTTTTGAAGGCCTATAATGCCTTTATTACTCTGTGCTGATCAGTTTTTATACTATTTTGTTTTGTATGAATTCATTGTGTGAAGATATAGACAACTATTTTGAGGAAAAGAAGACATTATGGTAGCCACTGTAGATCTCCTGTGTTTTGCTTTAAAATCTGTGTCACTTACGTTGTTTTCTTCGGATCTGCTTTGTTCTGTTTTGTTATGGTTTGTTTTACTCTCTTTAAAATAAAAAAAAATTTAAAAAGTGCATTTTATTAGGAAAAATATACATGGAAACTATTGTATTTTACATAATGAGAAAATGCCAAAACCAAAGCTGCCCTGTATGCTTGTGGTTGTTTATATCCACTACAGAGGGCTATTTCATTGTTCTGTTTTCTGTACCTTTATGAAAACTAATTATAATGAGTTTTCCTTTAGTAGACTTCAGTCTACTAAATCAGAACCCCGATTCCATGACCTTGGAGCACTTTTCTTTCTCTTCCCAATTACCAAGAAATAGAATATTTCAGTCAGAAAAACAAAAATCCTGTCAGGGGACCACAGATGTAGTGAAATAAAATACTAGCCATTTCCATTCCATGTGATTAGTTTAGTGTCAGAATTTGCACAATAAAAAGGAATGTTTATATTTCTTGAACATATTCAATGCCTTTGACTTAAATGCTTCCAATAATAGAGCACTTGCTCCAGCTAGAAGTAGCACATCGTTGTTTTTGTTTGTTTGTTAATTGGTACATATTAGTAGTACAGAATAATGAGATTTGTGATGATATGTATTACTCATTATTGGGCAACTCAAATTACTCCTTGTTTCTGAGAAACTCATATCTTCATCTACAAAGTATCTCTGAGTTGATTCTCTCCTCTGCTTTCCCTTGAGACGCCAGAGCACACAGTCACTTGCACTATGCTACCTCAATACAGCCTGTTAGGGATCTGAACCAAGATATTTTATCCACCATGTCCCCTTACCTCATGGAAAACAACTACTTCAACTATTTCTTTCAAACTGATATCTATTCAGTCTATCATAAAGTGAATAGTCATGCAGCCTGCTTGCACATTGTGACTCTGAACATCAAAAGCTTATCAAGCAAGGCATGGTGGTATAGGCCTCTAAATCGAGCATTCTGGAGAGTGAAGCAGTGAAATCAACGATTGAACCTAGCCTGGGTACCTTAGTGACTTAATGAGAGCCAGTCTTAAAATAAAAAGTAAAATAATCTGTGGATATATCTCAGCATAAAGTTTTGGCTTCACTCCCCAGTACTGCCAAATGAATGAATAAATAAATAAATAAAATAAAGAAAACTTGTTGGCTTCCACTTGGTTTGAGCCAATGGCTTATAGCTGTTCATTGTCAGAGGCCTTATGGGAGGCTGATTAGTAGTCAATTATTATAATGACAAAAGCAACAGAGTAGGAAAAATATTTCCTGAGAAAAAATGTTTGAAGAAGTTGTAATATATATTTTGCTGACATATTTACAGTTTCACATACAATTGTAACACTAATTCAGAGATCCCTAGCACATTTTGTACGTTATAACATGTCTGATATTGGCATTGGCAAAATCCATTTAATTCAGATTTCTTTGTTTTATTTGTACTCATTTGTGCATGTGTGTGCATGTGTATATTTATTTTTATATAGTTTTTGTTATGTGTTGTTTCTTATGTATACCACTGTAGTTGATACAGAGAATGTTCCTGTCCTAGTAAAGATACCTTATGTTGCCCTTTTATAACCACATTCATTTCTTCTCACTCATCTCACTTTGGTCCTTAACCTCCTGGAAACCTCTATTATGTTCTCTAATTCTGTTATTTCAAATTATATAAATGAAACCATTATAAATTAATTTTTAGTGTTTTAAATTAGTCTTTTCACTCAGCACATACTTGAGATTCATCCATACTGTTGTGTGTAGCAAGTTTGTTTCTTTTTATTGTTGAGTGGAATTCATTAGATGTATAATAGCACAGTTTATTTATTCACACTGAAGGACATCTGAGTTGCATCTATTTGGCTGAGAGGAATAAAACTGCTATGAACACATGTGTATATGGTGTTAGAACTCTACTTTTATAGTAAGATTTACTATCATGTAGAGTGATTTATCTCACTTTACTGTCCCACTTCAAGATGATTTCAACATTATAGGATTTTTAATTTTAATATGATTTTTAGAATAAAATACTCTATGTCTTCAAATTTTTGAGGAATTGATATGATGTTTTTTCATAACAAGTGCATCATTTTACTATCCCATCAATGATAATGTGAAAGTCCCAATTTCACTACATATTGTGTATCCATTAAAAAATCTACTTTTCTCCAGCTCCAGGGATAAGTAGAAAGATCCCTTGAAGCCATCTCAGGAATCAGGAAGATCATACCTATGAGATTTAAGGGTATAAAAGTCTATAATTACAGGTCTTGGGAAGCTGAGGCAAGAGGAACATGAGTTTAAGTTCAGATTGGGTTAAATAGCAAGGCCAACCTTAACCATATACCAAGACTGTGTCTTAAAAACACCACATAGCCCAGGTACATGAAGAAAAAACACAGAAAGACAAAATGAATATATAAAAGCATGAATTTTTGAAAGATATTTCTTCGAGAAGAGAGCCCTAGGGTTCCCTTTTCACTCATGGCCACTTAAAGGAAGTGCTTACTTGTATTTAGCTGTAGACCTTGGAGTAAACCACATTTTACAAGTATCCAGAGTCTAAGATGTATGGTGTCATGGAGGCTTCTACACAGATTTCAAAGGGAGGCTAGGCATAAGATGTGTGATAGGGTCAGAATCCTTCCAGCCCTCTTGAAAGGGTGATGTATGAAGCTGTGAGTGAGAAGCTATAGGTGCATCGGAGACTCCAGGGTTGTAGAGATGCTAGGAAAATAAAATATGTACCAAGGAGTGTTGCAGACTAAGTAAGCCTAAGACAAAGGTCATGAGGACTGCAAGCAGTAAAGATATATGGGTGAAGCTGGCCAAGCTCTCTAGAACTCACATCTTATCACCAAGTAGCTCAGATGCTGGAGATGGACCTACAAGATTTAACACTTGATTTGCTGGGGTTGAATCTTGCTTTGCTTTTTGAAATGGGACTGTTTACCCTGTGCCACTGTATATTGAGAATATGTAAATTCCCTTGTGAATTTCATTGATGTTCATAGCTAAGGAATTTGCCTAGAGATTTCAGTCCACACTCAGCTAACTCCAAGGCAGAGTGGCAAAGCTAGGAGGGAATTGTTCATTGTAGCTGCAAGTGACACAAGCAAAAAGGGAAAAAGGGAAAGTGTGTCTCTTTCCTTCCCTTGTATTGTATGCC